GGAGATGTGCCATAGGAAAGATGAGAAGAAGAATGTTAATACAGCCTTTCTAAATAGTTTGACAGTGTTGTGGGTATTAGTTGTTTAGCAGAGTGATGGCATGTGGGGGGAAACTGTCCTTGTGTCTAGTTGTTCTGGTGTGCAGAACGTGGTTTTGAGGGTAGAAGAAATGCCAACTTCTGTGAAGAAAAGATGCCTGTCCAAAGCCAAGGTCAAGGTTTATGTGCCAGTTGCAAAGTAGAGAGGGGGCCGGATGGATGGAGGCCTTTCCTGTCTCCCATTTTTCAGGAATGAAGTTTGGGCAGGACACCCCCCCCGCCGGAGCTCTGACAAAAGAGTGAAGTGTTTCGCCAGCCTCCTTTCAGCATCACATTATATCTGAGTCCATTTTGGTTCTTTCTGCAAAGTGTGGGTGGGAGACGTTTTTAAAAATGCATCTCTCTCTCTCTCACTGTAGGGAAAATGCTTAAAGACTCTGAAGGGGCACAGCAACTATGTCTTCTGCTGCAATTTCAACCCTCAGTCAAACCTCATCGTCTCAGGATCGGTAAGCATCTGGCTGGGCAAGGCAGAAATGCCCCAGGGGCTCTCGGGACCTGTGGCCGGATGGGCTTCCTTGCCTTTCTAGAGCTGCAGCTCTGCCTTCGGAGGCCCCAAAGTGTAGCCCTGCCCACCCCATGCCCCTGGATTCCCCTGGGCCAACGAAAAACCCCTGGTTTCCAGCCTCCAGGGGGGCCTTCTGTTGCAGGATGAGGGTCTCCTAGGAGTTCTAGCATCTTCTCTCTCTCTTCCTCCCTTTTTTTTCTCCATAGGGGATAAAATCTTATTAATTAGATGTATCATATGTAAACAAATAGAGCAGGAGATATTAGATGAGCTATTTTTACAGCAAAATAACCTTTTTCTAAATACTCCCATTATTTTCTGTCTTATTCTGCTAGAATTTTGATTGATTTTTATTTTCCTGAAAATTATAGCTCAAATATTCACTAGTTATAGCCCCACCTCTCCCATTTATCTGGCAGCCATTTCATGCAGAAAAATTAAGTGTTTCCATGCGAGTGTCTTCCTCCACAGAGGGGGTGGTTTTTTTTTTGGCATTTTCAATTAGTTTCTCTCCCCCCCCCCCCCGAATGCTACTGGAAGGGATTCAGAGGGTGACCTGGGGGCATGAGGAAGGGCTTCACAAGCCCCATCAGTCCCTTGAGCCATGGGGAAGGTCTGTGCGAAATGGAGGCACCCTGGGCGCCCCGAGTCAGAAATAGTTGCTTTTGGGGGGTCCATAGCAGGGCATGGGAACAATGAGAATATATTTGCTGAACAAAACTCCACGTTGGTGACAGGAAGGGCATCCGGCCAGTAAACACTCTGCTAGCTCCATTCAGTTGCCCAGACTCCAGCCCTCAAGGGGTTATGGGGTCGTTAAATGAGGATGAAAGCAGGGCACTGGAAAGGACCCCCTGGAAGCTGGGCTCCACCACAGGGGAGAATGTTTCTGGTTCTTTTCTGTGGCTGCTCAAGAGGGATGATTTGGAGCCTGTTTCTGTGGTGGAAGGGGGGGGGAGAGACAGGCTTCCCCTCAGAGCAGGAAATGCTCCCCTGCCGAAGCAGAAGCCCTTGGGATGTTTCTGACTCTCTTCTCTGCTTTTTTTCCAGTTTGACGAAAGCGTCAGGATCTGGGATGTCAAAACGGGGAAGTGCCTGAAAACACTGCCAGCCCACTCGGACCCCGTTTCTGCTGTAAGTTCTCTTGAGGGGAAGGGGGCCAAGGTTTCCCAGGGAGTCTTGGCTGGGAAGAAGGGAGGGCCTTCCTCCGTGGGACGGAAGAGGGAGGGCCCCAGAGCCTGTTCCCTCCCTTCCCTTGGCCCCCAAATAACAGGGAGTCGTCTTGCCTTCAGGTGCATTTTAACCGCGATGGCTCCCTGATCGTGTCCAGCAGCTACGATGGTCTGTGGTGAGTAGAGGGCAAAGAAAGGCCCGTGGCACTGAGTCAAGGCTGCCTAGCTGGGCAAAGCAGCTCCTGCAAGCCATTCTTTCCCTGGGACGGGGCATGGCAGAGCTGGAGGAGGGAGGGAGGGAGCATGATCCCTGAATTAACATGGACCTGACCTGGGGAGGGAGCTTCTATTGGGAGGGGAAGTCCTTTCGGCTTTTGGGTTGTCTTCCTCCTCCCCGCCCCACACCCCAGTGGGTCACGTGAGCCTGCCTGGGGCCCTGTAGAAAAGGATGGCTTGCCAGGAGAAAGTTTGGGGCCTGGCTTGGCCCAAGAGTCCCCCAGCCTTGGCCGAGACTCAAGCCGTGCATTTGTGCATCCAAAGGCTTTCCCATCCTTCCTTACCCAAACTAGGCTGTTTTGCTCTTTTGGATAACTGGAACCTGAAGAGCTCCGGCCTTCCCCGAACCCCACATGCAGCCTCGGCTTCTCCCACTTGGCTCTCCTACTCTGGGCTGTTTCCTTGGTGGAAAACAAAGCCTTGGCGATGTGGGAGAGGGGCTGTATGTCCTCCCAAACCCTAAAGAGCAGCTGGCCAGGCAGGAGGGAGGATGTTTAGGGCCCCACAGGATGGGGCCTATTCTTGCCCTGACCCTCTTGCCAGCATCTCCCAGCACCCCAAGGCTTCCCTTCCTTCCCCCCTTTCTCATTCCTTTCTGAGATCCTGTGGGGAGGGGACCATCAAAGGAAAATACAGCACCAGGGATTCATTATTGTAGAGAAAACTTTAATTTGAGAAGGTCTCTTCACCTGAGGCTGAAGAGAGACGAGTGGTGCAGAGATGGATATGTTGTGATAGCCAAAAGCCCTGCAACTAATAGGAGCATGGAAGGAGCAGCCTTGCTCCATGAAAGCCAATGGATTGGGGGAGCCATCCTGTTCCTTGGAGCACCCTGTGAAGCCAGGGAAGCTGGCAGCGGCTGGGCCTCCTGCCCTGGGAATAGAGAGCCGTGGGAGGGATTGTTTCTCACAGCTTCCTGGGTGAGAGTCGGGGCATCCTTGGAGCAGCTGGTGAGCAGCCTGGGTTGTATGATGGCTTGTTCAGTGGGCCACCCGTTTTCTTGTGGACGGCCAATGGTCTGTGGTGGAAGGAAGGAGACGACCTTGGGGGAGGCGGGCAAGGGCCCTTCCCGAGGTCCAGGGGGCCGAAACATTTCAAAGTTCCAAGGCAGCATCTAGGAGGGGCTCCGGCAGGTGCCTCCCTTGAGCCAGCGAGCAATGTGGACAGGTCCCCCGGGGTCTCTCCTCAGGGCCAGCTCCAAGACGAGCAGCCCTGGCCTTCCTATGGCCTGCCTTTCCTGGCCTGGTCTGTCTCGTGGGGCTGAGGGCTGTGGAGAGAAGGGAAAATGAGGGAAGAGGGGACCCTGGCGAATGATGTGTCTGTTGTCCCTCCCCCCCCCCCCGGCAATTCCCAATCCTGGGCTGGAAGTTTGAAAAATCAGAATCTCGGCACGACCAGAAATCATTGTAGCCACTGAGCATCCTGATGGACTCCATGCCTCCTCCTCTTCCTCCTCCTCCATGCCTAGTGGGATGAGTGGCGGTCAGGCCCCACTGAAGCCTGGAATGTTTGACTGCCTCCTGGTTTCATCAGAGAAAAACCTTAGGGGAGCACTGCCTGTTCCTGGCCCTCTCCCCTCCCTCTCTTTGAGCTCAGCCCACCCTAATTGCCCCAGCCCTTCACTTCCCCACCCTCTGCTTAGCTACCTTATGACCTGCATGGCTCCTGGTTTCCATTTCAAAATAAAAGTTTTTATGGAGGGAAATTCTGAAAGCTTACTCTTAAAAAAAAAAAGACATTCCTGAGCCCTTTGCTCTAAAATGTGCCAGTCCTGAGGAGCAGTTTGTGGAGCAGCCCCTGATCCAAATATTGCTTGCAGGAGAGGCCTGCATTTCCTGCTGAACCAAATGAAATGATGCCACCAGAGTTTATTCCATTTCTGTTCAGAGTGCCCTGGCTGTGCTGTGTGTTTGTGTGTGTGGTCCATCCATCTCCCCCCCCCCCCCCTAACTTTCTGCCTGACTAACATGACTCCCTTGGCATTGCAGCCGGATCTGGGACACGGCTTCTGGCCAGTGCTTGAAAACGTTGATTGGTGAGTTGGCTCCCCTCCAAGAGGAATTGGCTCAGGCAAATCCTCACTTCCCCATGTGGGGCTGAGACATAGGCCTTTCTTTCATTCTCTCTTTCAGATGACGACAATCCCCCCGTGTCATTTGTGAAATTCTCTCCCAACGGCAAATATATTCTAGCAGCCACTCTGGATAAGTAAGAGCCAAAGAATTCTGATTTTCCGAAGAAAACGGCCAGAGGAGGGAAAGGCTGACCGAGGCAATGGGAGGAAGGTCCCACTGGGCTTCTAGCCCTGGAGAGTTCTGGACCAGCCGGGCTCTTCGATTTCCTCGGCTGGGTGTGAAAAACCAGGAAGCCCAGTTGCCCCTGAAACCTCCAAAATCTTTTGCCAAACTCTAATTGTAAAGGTGTCAGAAAGGAAACCATTTTAAATGCATGACTGGAGAATAATCTTTTTAAAAATAGCTTCAGCTTTTTCCCCTGGTGCTGCCTGGTCCTCCTTGAGGAGCAGCCCCTTGCCCAAACTGCCCCGCAGGCCACAAAGAGGCCTCAGGCAATTTGGCGAGACTTCCGGCTTCATTTCCCCGTTTATTTTTACAACGGCTCTTTATTTAGCTTCCACTTCCATTCAAGAGTAGCAGCCTAGGAGCCTCCAAAGTGTGAAAGGGGTTAGGTAAAAAATAAACTCCCCCCAAAATTAAATATTTGGGTGTGGTTTTAAAAATCTTTCAAGAAGGGGAAAAACAGGTGATGTGAACAAACAGGTAGATAGAGGGAAGAAAGCAAGAGAAATATTCCCTTCCGGGCTGGTGGGGAGCAAAGGAAGACAGGCCCCAAGAGAGCTGGAGGTCGGGGGGGGGAGGGGCAGTTGGGGCGGGGGTCATTCTGTGGGTCTTTCTAACCAGAGTGTTTCCATCCCTCCAGCACTCTCAAACTTTGGGACTACAGCAAAGGAAAGGTGAGTGCCTGTGTTTAACCCCGAAGATGCTCCCATTAATCCCTGGAAGGTTTAGGCAGAGGAGAGCGGCTCTCCCTTCAGCCTGAGGGATTCATTAAGCAGTCTCAGACTAACCAAACCGGCTGCTGGCTTCGTTCCTTGCTGTCCTCCTGCAGCAGAAGCTTCATTCAAACAGTAATTTGAAATTTGCAGTTTGGCAAATAGCCTCCAGTTTCTGAATATTCCCAGACCACTAAAATTCAGGAGGGTGCAGAGTTGAGGAGGGTGCAGACATGATATCTGGGGAGAAGTTTCCTCTTTGTCCAGAGGGAAAGCCTGGCTTTGCAGGTAAGAGGGAGGATGGACGGACGGCAGGGGTCTCCCCCTGCCTGGACCCTCCTGCTGAGGTGTGATAGGTGGCTCTATGACCTTTCTGTTTTCCAGTGCCTCAAGACCTACACGGGCCACAAGAATGAGAAGTATTGCATCTTTGCCAACTTTTCAGTTACTGGTGGAAAGGTGAGCATCTCTTTTCTGAGATACAGGTGGGGGGGGGACCCGTGTCTCCCACCTCGGTGCAAATGCCATCTGAATTGAAACTGAACCGGCAGCATTCGAATTCAGGGGCAGGGCCTGGGTGAGGGGACAAGGTCAGGTAAGGCGGCAGCAGCGGCGCCTGTCCTGGGAACGGGATCCAAGGCAGGGGTATCAAACTCGATTTCACTCAGGGCTGCATCAGGGTTCTGTTTGACCTCAGAGGGGCTGGGTGGGCGTGGCCAGCTCATCCCTTGTGTCAGGGGCCCCTGTAGCTGGGAGGAGGAAAGAGAGCGAGAAGCGGCCCACCTGTCGGGATCCTCACCTGGGCCCAGCCGGGCTCAGTCCTTCTGAACGCCTTTCCTCCCTCCAGTGGATCGTGTCCGGTTCGGAGGACAACTTGGTGTACATTTGGAATCTCCAAACGAAGGAGATTGTACAGAAGCTGCAAGGACACACAGGTAGGAACCCTCGGGCTGCCTGCAAAGTGGCTGGGAAGCCGGCTTCCTCCTGATGCGATGGGGCTGCCCAAGCCCCCCCCGCCCCCGGCTGTCAGCACCTGGCCTGAAACAGCTATGGCTTTGGGGTGGGGGGACGGTTCAGCTTTGTGTCAAGCACAAACTTCCTTCCCTTTGGACCTGGAACTTTGGGAGCCCAACCCTGCAATCCGGCCGCTCCCACTATCTCCCCACCCCTGATTCCCTCCCACCAGCAGGGATCTGCCTTTAACCCTAGAGGGAGAGGATGCAGGGCCTCAATGGACTTGGCTTCTCCCTGCCATAGAGCTGCAAACAACCAAGGGGGGGGGGTATTGATCCTGGCGCTGGGTGGGAATGTTGGGGACTTCTGCTTGAAGTAGTTGTGCCTCCTCCCGCCCCCGGATCCAGGACTGTTGGCACATGGTGGAGTTTAGAGTCATTGCTACTAAAGAATGAGATGGTGCCATTGGGGTTTCTTGACTAGGAACATAGGAACACAAGCCCTCTGGCCACAAAACAACCCACCTGCGACTCTCCAGTTGCAACTGCTGGTCTTAGCCAGATCTGCTCCTTGGTGGCTGTCCAGCCCCCCTCCCCTTTCGTGGCCTGGGGGAGACTGGGGAGAAGTGCCTGCAGGATGCAGAGAAAGGTTCCCTCACTGGCAAAGCTGCCATGTGGTGTCCACATGCTGTGGTTCTTTTCCCCCCCCCGGGGGGGGGCAGCTCTGGCTTCCCACAAGGAGGCAGGCGGGTGCTGGCTGGTAACGACAGGCATCTTGGTCCCTCTTTCCCAACAGACGTTGTGATCTCCACGGCTTGCCATCCAACCGAGAACATCATTGCCTCCGCAGCCCTAGAGAACGACAAAACGATTAAACTTTGGAAGAGTGACTGTTAAGTGCCCTGGGCACCGGCATCACACAGAGACTGTTGGGGTGGTGTCCATAAAATCGAAGGGTATTTTGTGTTTGTGTTTTTTAAAAAAGAAAGGAAAAAAAACCAACCCACATTTCAGCCGCATTAGCAGGAAATCCGGAGCGATGTTAAGGCTTGGCCTACGGAGAACCGAAGCGCCCTTTTCCTTGGCCTGACCCTTGTGTGGGGAGCCCCCCCCCGGAGTGGGGGCTGTTCAGTCCTGCCTCCCCCCAGAAAGAATCTTTTTAAAGTTCTGATTTAAGACCACCTCAGGCCCCCTTCAGCGAAGGAGCTCAGGGGCCCCGATAGGCCTCCTCAGTGAAGACGGAAGAATATTTTCAGTGCGACCAAATCAATGTGCCCCATGTGGCCCTTTCCCTGCCTGGTTTCCCAGAGTCTCCCCTCCTGCTGTGGGCTCTGGTGGATGCTATTGCGGTGAAAATCTTCCAAGGCTTCCCCCCCCTTGCCCCCTCCCGCCAAAAAAACCCAAAAGAACCAACTCTTGTGACCCCTTTTTTGTTTTCTTTTTACTTTTTAAAACCATTCTGGCAAATTTCACAATATGTGTACAGTTACCTAAGTGTAAAGAATTTTTTTATCTGGAAAAATGTCTCTGTATGGACTTGTATTGCTTAATAGTATGACTGTATCTTTTCTGGTGTCGACCCTTCTTCCTCTTCTTCCTCTCTCTCGGTGGTACTCTTGGTGTCCTGCGCATCCCGGACAGTCATCGTACGTTCGGCAGAATAAAAAGTGGGATTTCAAGTGGTTGACGGCAGGATCGGCTGCCTGGCGTGAATGCTTTCAGGGGGGCATCCAAGCAGCTTTCCCTGGGACGCCCGTAACCTGGCTCGGGTGAATAAGGCTGGAAGCTAAACCGTATGAAGAACGGCTGCAGGTTTTGGGTCCGGCTGGCCTAGAGAAAAGAAGGACTAGGGGGTGACGTGATAGCAGCCTCCCAGTATTTGAGGGGCTGCCACAAAGAAGGGGAGGGATGAAGCCATTCTCCAAAGCAGTAGAAGGCAGGACTGGAAACCATGGGTGGAAACCAACCAAAGAGAGAAGCAACTTGGAATTCAGGAGAAACTTCCTAACAGTGAGGACAATGAACCAGTGGAACAGTTGGTCTCCAGAAATCATGGGTGCTCCATCGCTGGAAGATTTTAAGAAGAGACAGGACAGTCACTTGTCTGAGATAGTATCAGATGGGTGTCAAACTTCAGGACCCCCCCCCCCTTTTGCTAAATCGGACATGGGTATGGCTGGCACATTGTCCTCCAGCCTGTGGCCCAGGGTTTGACAGTCTTTGTATAGGTGCTCCTGCTTGAGCAGGTGGCTGGACTAGAAGACCTCCAAGGTTCCTTTCAGCTGTATTCTATTCTAAGGCACCCAAGGAGGGCTCAGGGCCCAGTGGGGGCACCCAGGGGATTAATCTCCGTGCTCCCACCCCCCTACAGAAAGCCCCTCACCCTGAGAATTTTGGCCAAGAAGGCTGTGGTGGGTGACAACTCAAAGCAGCTGCCCTGCTTGGAGTACCAGTAGCCTGGCCTGCCCCCACCCCCAATTGAGCCCAAGTGCTGAGGCAGGGGCTTTGTTTCCTCCTGTGGGAAGAGCATTGGGCTTTTTAACGCCACAAGAAGAGGCGAGCTGCCCCTTCTCTTGCATTTGGGGAAGGCAGAAGGGTGACCAAAAGCTGGGGGGATGGCTTCGGCCAGGCTGAGCCTAGGGGCCTGAGGGAGAAAAGGAAGGTGAAGGAATTGGCAGGATGCCAATCCACCATGCTCCCTGCCCATCTCTAACCAAGCCAACTTTTGTGGGTCTTTTTAAAACTACTCCAGAGCTGCTTCTGATGAAGGAAATGGGGATGGAGAGAAAGAGTGAAGACTTCAGCTGCCAGAGATTCACAGATGCCACTATAGTGGGTCACCCCGATTTCCTTTTGGAGTCCTCCGTCCAGGACCTGGCATGATCCGACCCTGCTCAGTTTTCCAAGCGGTGACCTGAAATGCCAATCCAGGTGGCTGGTATGGCTTCGCTGCATGAGAGCAGGAGGGAGCCTGGTGCGGGTGCTGCTTAAAAAGAGCCGCAGGGCTGCCGGTGCTGATGTGGCAAAAGGGAGCGAGGGTGCGTTGTTGGAAGCAGCCAGGAAAACTCTTGCAGGCCTCCGCCCCAAAACTGGTTAGATGCCACGACGTAAGTGGCAGCGCCTTAACCATATGCGTGTTGCAAAGACCACAAGGGCCTCTTCCATCCTTATCAAGGGGAGTGCTAACCTTCTCTCCTTTCATACAACACGAACAGAAGGAACAACGCCAGGGCCAATTAAAGCTCCGAGATAGCTAAGTCTTCAGGTTATGGTTATAAAAATGGGATGCAGGCAAGAAGATTCAGACTTTTTCAGACATTTCCTAATACTATGTGGTTAATCTAGAGCATATCTTCTGTGTAATATGGCTAATAATTCTAAGGTAATTGGATTATGTTCCCATCAGTGGCCAATTTCCCATGAAGCCCGCGATAATATATGCACGAGTCTATCCAATCGGGATGCAAAGCGCGTCTCCGCTTTGTCTCTTTGCAAAACGAGCAAGATGTTTATTGACTCAGGGAGGAAGCCTCGCGATAAGAGAAATCACCGCCGAGAGAAAAGACGTGAGAAGAGTCTTCGGGCCCGGGGCGTCGGCTTCACCTGCCCGCCTCCAAGATGGCGGCCGAGGAGAAGCTAAAGCGCCAGGAATTCCGAGTTCGAATCCCTGTCGCGCTCCTTCCTTTTTCTGACCCCTGCGCCCTCGGTCGCTTCGACCCCGGGGGGCTTCTCTGGAAAGGGTCGGGGGCCCTGCGGGGGGGGTCCAGGCAAGGGGGTGGGAGATGGGCCTACATCCAGTCCGACGTGGTTCCTGAAGGGGGTCTGGGGTCGCTGACTGCCTCGGGGAGGATGCCAGGCGGGCGAGGGCGAAGCGATCCCCAGGGTCTATCGGGCGGGTGCGGCAGCTCTCGGAACGGCACTGCCCCACTGGAGGGGCCCGGTTACACCTCGCCAAAGGACGGGGGGGTCCTGCTTACCGACCCCCAACCTCCCCAGCTCTTTCGGGTTGGCTTCGGCTTTGTGTGCCGAAGGGGGCTGGGCAGAGCCCCTCAAACCCCCCACTCACCCACCCAATTTGATCCAAGCGGACCCAACCTCGGCCAAGGTGCGAGCAGGGGGCAAGGGAGTCCTCCCGTCGGCTGGACTCCGGAAAATGCACCCCGAGATGGGGCTTGCCTTTTTAGCAGCTCCGCACCCCGCTCCTGGCTCCCGTCCCCTCCGGAGCTCCCGCCCGGGATGTTCAGGGGCGTCCACGCCCCTCTCCCCCAAGAGATCAAGACGGGGCTCACTATGGGGAGAGCAAAGCTCCGCCCGTTTTCCACCCATAAGAAACCGAGACGGCCTTGCCTCCCCAGTGGGACCCTTCAGCTGCCGCGGCTCCTTCTCCTTCTGGGCTCCGCTTCGTTTCAGCCCCAGGCCAGTCCTGAGGGCCCAAGGTCACCCGAGGCCTCCTGGCCGTAGCTGGACTGGGGCTGCTTTCCTGCCCCCTGCCCATCCATTGAAGGACCTTGCGGCCGCTGAGGAACATTTAGCAATAGCACTCTTTGACTTATATACCGCTTCATGGTACTTTTTACAGCCCCCTCTAAGCTGTTTACAGAGTCAGCAAGCGGCCGCCAACAATCTGGCTCCTCATGCTACCCACCTGGGAAGGAGGGAAGGCTGAGTCAACCTTGAGCCGGTCAGGATCGAACTGCTGGCATTCTAAACCACGCAGGCAGGCAGGCAGGCAGGCAGGTGGATGGAGGATTGATGGATGATTGACAAATAGTGGATGGATGGATGGATGGATGGATGGATGGATGGATGGATGGATGGATGGATGGATGGAT